CCCCCCCCACCCCCCGATTGGGGACCCCCCCTTGCCCTGCCCTCCCCACTTGCCATCCTCCCCCCTCCTTTGGCTTCTGCCTGTGCACCGGCGGCGCGAAGCCCATGCCCTCGCCGGGAGGGTCCTCCCCGCCGGCCGGCGAGTCGCCGTCTCCATCGCCAGGGCCGCAGGGCCACCCCGGCCCGGGGCCCGCGGCCGGCGCCAGCCCCGGGCTCGGGGTCCATGACCTGCCGCCGGAGCTGATGCTCATGGTGCTGGCCCGGCTGGCCGAGGCCCGGCGATCGGCGCACGTCCCGCGCTCGCGCGAAGGGCCGCCCTTCACCGCCGGCGGCCTCGGCGACGTGGCCGCCTGCGCGCGAGCCTCCCGGCGCTGGGCCGCCCTGGCCACCAGCCCCCGCACCGAGGACCCCCGGCCGGTGAGCTGGCCGGCCGTGGCGGTGACCGTGGCGGCCCCGGGGCCGGATGTGGACTTCCTGACCGGCGCCGGGGAGGCCTTCGCCGGGCGCCGGCGCATCGACACCCTGCACCTCACCGGCCCGGGGGTGTATGGCCGCCTGGTGCCGGCCGGCCGGCCGGTCCCGTCGCCCGGCGGCCCTGGCGGCCCCGGCGGCCCCGGCGCCGCTCTGCTGGCATCGCTCTCCGGGCAGGGCGACCTGGACTGGGCAGCCGGCCGCCCGGGCGAGCCCGGCCCCCCGGCCGGCTCCGGCTGGCTGCACATCGAGGCGCTGCAGGTGGACTTCCACCCGGGCTTCATTCGGTACCCCGGCGCGCGGGCCCCCGGGGCGCCGCGGTCCCTGCAGGATGCCCAGGCCCGGCAGGTCGGGTCCCCGTGGCCGGCTGCCGCCCTGGTGGGGCTCCTCCGGTCGGTGGCCCGCCCAGGTCCCCTGGCCCTGCCGAGCGTGTGCAGCCTCTCCCGGCGGACGGCCGCCTGGCCCGGGGCCTTTCCCCCGGCACCCGGGTGCACCCTGGTCCACCTGCACCTGGACTGCATCAACTTCACCGAGCTCCGGGCATTGGTGCGGCTGTGCACGCCGCAGGCCCCGGCCGGGGCCGGCCGCCCGGGGCCCGACTACCGCGGGGCCTGGTGCGTTGCCCCGAGCCTCCGGTGCCTGACCGTGATCGCGTGCGTCGTCAATCTGGAGGCCATTTCCGACTCGCGGCACACCGGCCCCCCCCCCGGGCTCCGGCCTCTGCTCTCGCGAATGGACGTGCGCTTCCTGCCCGTTCCCCGGCCCCGGCAGGGGGTCTTCGGCTTCGATGGGCGCGCCCTCACCGCCCTCACGCTGCTGGGGTTCGCCCACCTCCCCGGGCCGGGGGAGGACCTGGCCGCGGCGGCGGCCGCCGCCCGCTGGCCGGCCCTCACCCACCTTCGCCTCGACTGGCCGACGCTCCCCCCCCCGGCGGATGGGGCCCTGGCCGACATGTGCCGGGCCCAGTCGCGTGCCACGCGCCAGCACTTCGCCGAGCGCCTTCTCTGGGCTCGTGGGATCCTCCACCGCCGGGCCCTTGGCCGCCTGCCGATCGAGCAGCCCGTGCCCTTGGCCGACTCGGCCTCCAGCCCGTCCGACTTGTTGGAGGGTCCGCCCGGCCCGGCGGCCCCCCGGGACGACCCGGCGCCCATGCTGCCTGCCGGCCCCCCGGTCGCCCGGAGCCCCGTCTCTCGCACGCCGTACCTCCCGGCCCCGGACCACCCGGCCCGGGCCATGCACTTCCTGGACTCCCCGCTGGCCGTGGCCCAATGCCCCTGCCTCCGGGCGGATCTCCTGCAAACCCGGCGATCTGCCGGGCTGCCCCTCTCGGCGCAGCCGCCCTGGCCGCCGGGACAGTGGCCCGACGCCGGGGCCCGCCCGCCCGGGGATGGCCCCCCGCCGCCGGCTGCCGGCTGCCCGCCGGCCACGGCGCCGGATGTCTCCTGCTGGCGGCCCCCCCTGGCGGTCATCCTCCCGGCCGCCGCGGCCACCGACGTCCACCTGTCCTGGGGCCCGGTGGACTTGGTCCAGCCGGTCCCGGCGCCCGGGCGGTCGGCCGCCCGCTTCCACCTCCTGGACCCGGACACCGAGTCCCCCGTCCACGGGCTGGGCCTTCGGTGCGCCATGGAGGACGTCCTCGGCCCGGCCGGCGGCCTGGCCTCCCTCACGAGCCAGCTTCAGGATTGGCTTCCCGCGGCGGGCAGCCGGCGCCCGGGCCCCAGTCCCAGCCTGGAGGCCCTCCTCCGGCCGCTGGTGCACCTGCGTAGCCTGGATCTGAATCTCCCCCCGCCGGCGCCCGGGTCGGCCCTTGCCCGGGCCGGCGCCGGGTGCCCCGTGTGCGTGCCCGGCGCCGGGGCTCGGACCCGCGCGGCCCGGCCCATGCCCCATCTGCGGGCCTTCCGCGGCCACTGCCGGTGGCTCGACGCCCTGGCACCCGGCCAGGCCTGCTGCCTGGCCCGCCAGCTGAATTCCCTCTGCCTTGTGCCGGCCCTCGGCACGGCCGGCGACGAGCCGCCGGTGTCCGGGGCCGGGGTGCGCGACCTACGCGCCCTGGCATCCCCCCCCGGGGCCCCCATGCTGCCGGCCGTCGACGCCCTCCACCTGACGGCCGACAGCCTGGACCAGGTGACCGAGCTCCTCTTCCCCCGGTGCCAAGCCGGCCCCGGCTGCGCCGCATGCACCCCGGCCTCCACCCGGGGGGATCTCCTGAAGGTGCCCCTTTGCCCGGCGGTCCAGGCCGGCTGGCTGGCCACGCGCCAGCGCCTGCGCCGCCTCAGCATCCTTGTCGACCGGTGCGTCCAACCGGCCATTGCCCCGGGCGGTGGCCTGGCGGCTTGGCCTCGCCGCCCCGGGGGCTGCCTGCCATCTGCCGGCTAACCCGAATGTCGCCCCTTCCTCCTCGCCCCTCCCGCCGCCCCGGACACGCCAGCTCCATCACTGATGGCGACTTGCGCTCGCTCCTGGGGTGCTTCCTGCGCCGGCCACTGGCGCCCGGCCAGCCCGACGCGCCGGCGCCGGCCCCCCCGGCCCTCGAGCGCCTGAGCATCCTCGGGTCTCTGGACAACGACGCCACCGAGGGTCCGCCATCAGCTCTTCCCGCTTGTCCCCGCCCCCGGCCATGAATGTGCTATTGACACCCTGCCTCGGTCCCGGGCTCCCCCTGCTGTCCCCTGCCCTGCCCTGCCCTGCCCTGCCCTGCCCGGACAGACACCCTGGCCCTGCTGGGGCGCTTTGAGCGCCTCTCCTGCCTGCGTCTCAACCGGCTGACCGGTGCCTCCAATGGCACGGGCTTCGTGGTGCGCCCCCGCGCCCCTGGCTCGCACATGCCGATGCCCCCCTTCGCACACACCTTTGCACGTGGCTCTTACACGCACCGCCTTCCCCCCCCCCCCCCCCTGTCCAATGGGCTCGGCAGGGCACCCTCCTCCGCCGGGCGCAGGGGGTCCCCCTGCAGGAGCTCTGCCTCGACCGGCCGTACGGCTTGAATGCCAGCCGCAGCGTGGCCGGCCTGCGCGACACGCTGATGCACTTCCTGTCGGCGGACTTCCGCCGCGAGCAGAAGCCCCACATGCGGCACATCCCGACCGGGGCCCAGGTGGCCACGGTCCCCGCCTCGGCCACCTCGCTGGAGGTCCTGCGCCTCTTCTTCGGCGAGATGCCAGCCCGGTGCGGCGCCCCTCGTTCCCCCTGCCCTCTCCGCCATCCTCCCGGCCATTCTCCCCTCCCCATAAGGCCCCCCTCATTGCGGCTGACCGTTCCACGCGCGCCCCCCCCCCCCCCCCCCCCTCTGGTGCGCCCTTGCCGCGCAATAGAGGCGCGCAATTCGGCTTCCTCCGTGGCCTGCCCAATCTCCGGGTTCTGCACATCCGCGCGCTCGAGCTCGACGTCCCGGGCGTCAAGCGGCATTTGGACACGGAGCCGGCCCCGGAGGCTGGGGCGGCCCGGGCGTCCAAGCGCCGACGCGCCACCGGCACGCCCGACCCCCCCCGGCCCCGGGGCCCGCCACCGCCTCCGACCGTGGTCCACCGGGTGGAGGCCCTCCCCCGGAGCCCGGCACCCCTGCTGCGCACCCCGCTGGCCCGGTGGCTGGAGCTCCTCCACACTCATGCCACCTTCGAGGCCACTCCCCTGGACCAGCAGGTGGTCCTGACACCGGGCAGCTGGCCGGCATCGGCCGTCGACCAGACGCTGGCCCGCATCGGGTCAACCGGGGCCCCGCTGCCGGCCGAGCCCACCGGCTGGTTCACCCCGGACCTGATCCACTGCCCCTCGGGGCCGGCCTTCTCCGGAGACCCCTAAGGCCGCGCGCCTCCCGCCGTCGGCGCCGCCGCCGCCACTTCCATCTTCCCCTGTGCCCCGGGGGCCCGTCTCCAAAGCCCCTTTATAGAGGGAGCCGGGCTCCCCGGCGCACGCACCTGTCCAAACACGGAGATAAAAGGACGGAGTCTAAGGAGGGTATATTTCGTTCTAACGTGGCCGAGGCCGCGAAGCAGGGAGGGGCGAGGGGGGAGGCAAACCAAAAGAGGGAGAGGCCGAGGGAGGGAGAGAGAGAGAGAAGGAGGCAGGGAGAAAGAGAGAGAGAGAGGGAATAGTGGGAGAGGCACAGGCCGTACACGCGCGCGCGGCACATGCCAAAAGCATGCACACTATGTGCTGGCACATGGCGCACGGCCGCGCACGGCCAAGGCCACACGTAGACCCACGCGAGGGACGTCCCCCGGCCGCGAGACACGAGGCGGCTGTCGCTCGCGCGGCCGGTCCGGCTCCCGCCCCCGGCCCGGACGAACGCCTACGGCCCGGTCAGCGGAAGAACCGCCTCCAGCTTGGCCTCGCCACCTTTCTCCAAATTCCACGTGTACTGGGCCCAGATCCCCTCGCCGGTGAGGACAATCACCGAGTCCGAGTGCGTGCCGACGGCCACCTTGCTCGAGTGCAAGTCCGCCATGAGGCCACCCCCGGCGGCGCCGATGGCCATGCCTGCATCACCATCGGTCGGCTTCAACAACGACATCTGCCCGCGCAGATCCCCGGCGAAGGCGCACGTGCAGATGACCGCCCCGCGGTTGCGCGGCCGGGAGTCCGTGCCGATCCCCGCCGCCGCCAGCCGCTGGCGGACCGACTGGAAGCTGGCCGGCAAGTCCGCCAGCACCGGCGCCTTGAACCAGGAAAAGGACCAGCTCGACCGGAAGTAACTGGCCCCGATCCAGGACAGGCCGCTGGTGCGGTTGGACAGCCGGAAGGCAAAGTCCTGGGTCAGCCCCTCCAAGCCGGAGGCCGATGAGGAGCCCGCCGACCCGCCGGCGCCCGGCGCGGCCGCCCCGGCGCCCGGCGCCCCGGCAGCCGCACTGGACGACGCGCCCGCGGCCCCGGCCGACCCCGGTGCCTCGGCCGACCCCGGCGCCTGGACCAGCACCGACCACACATTGTAAATGTGCACCGTGCCCCGGTCGCTGGACACCAGGAGCTGATCACCGCCCGGGCTGAAGCGCAGGCACTGGATGACCGCCCCCTCGGAGCCACGGCGGAATTCCAGCAGCTTCTTCGGCCGCAAGTGCAAGCTCGATGCACCGAGCGTCGCGACGGTCGACGGGGCCCCATCCGACGACAACGACGCGGCACCCACCGGGTCCGGGGCGCCGGGGGTGGCGGTGGCGGCGACGGCCGCCGCCGCGGCCGCCATCGCAACCGTCGCCGAGCTGGCCGCCTGGTCGCCAGCCAGCTCCGCCGGCCGCCGCAGGCCGATGATCTCCCGGTGAATGGCCGAGAGATCCCAAATCCGGATGAGGGTGCCCCGCTCGGAGCAGGTGGCCAGCAGCGAGCCATCCTGGCTGAAGGCCATGGCGCGGATGGGCGAATCGTGCGCCCGGAAGCTGAGAATCTCCTGCGGCACGGGGTATGTGACCGTCTCCCCGGGCAGGGTCCCGGGCAGGTGGAAGAGCGTGATGGCCCCGGGGGCCGGCCAGTCGCCGGTACCGGCCGGGGGGAAGGCCAGCAGCGTGATGCTCGACATGTCGGAGGTCAAGGCCACGCCGTTGCGCGAGTGCCGCGCCGTCGGGAAGGAGGCCAGCTTCTCCAGCGAGGCGGTCAGCGAGTGGATGCGCACGTCGGTCTCCGTCGAGCACACCAGGTGGTACCGCGACAGATGCAGCGAGGCCACCGGCTCGGGCAGGTCCACGCTCGACACCAGGGCCCCATGGCCCTGGTCGGCCGCCTGGTCATAGAGATTCACGCGTGTCGAGGGGAAGGTGGCCGAGTCGCCCACGAAGGCCAGCAGGCTGTGCCGGTAGATTTGCCCGATCAGCGAGACATTGGCCCCGGGGATGAGGCACTCCACCCGCTGCCGAAGCGGCCGCGTGTTGAACAGGGACAGGCCATTTTGGTAGCCGATCGCGAAGCCGGAGGCGTCCTACGGCATCCGCGCGAGACCCGAACCCCGGGGCCGGCACGCGGCAGGGGGGCCGAGATGTCAGAGGCAAGCCCGGCATGCTGCGTGGGGCGGAGCGAGGGGAGGGGAGGGGGGGGGGCGCCGGGGGAACAGGCACCAGGAGGAACACCCTTGGGCCACATACCTGGTTGAAGTCCGCGAAGAGGATTTCCCCGAGTTCCTCCATGGCGCTGGGAGAGACGGGCGAAGAGGCGGGGCGGGCGAAGGGGGGAAAGGGCAAGAGGGATGGCGAGAATGTGCTCGGGGGGGGGGGGGGGGGGGAGGGCCGAAGGATGCCTTCGCGCACGGTGGGGTTGTTGGCAACCGCCTCGGTAGCATTCCCCAGGAATGGGCCGCACTTTTCACCCTGGCGCCAGGGGTACAGGGACGCCCGGGCGCCCGGGGGCGTGCGCCCGGGAGCGTGGATGGCCGGGGCTCTGACATGCATAAGACACACGCACACACACGCAGAAACGCACACACACACATACACACATACACACGTACACCCGCAGAACACAATGCTAGCGCGCCAACACCATCCCCAACTCGCCCTCAGCCCCGTGAGTCGCCCTCCGGCAAGTCACGCCACAAAGTCAGCCGCCGGTTGATCTCCCCCGGGAGTACCAACGATCGTCCACTTTTGTCGATCTCCCCTCGCGATCCCAGTCACCGGCGCCGGCACACCGGGCCATTGTCCTCCTGCGCTGTTCCCCTTCCCCTTTCCCTCCGCTCGCGCCCTCTCCCCCCCCCCCGCCCCCCCCTGTTACGATGTCCAATCGCCGCCAGAAGGTATGGCTCCTGCATGCCCCGCCCCCTCCCCAGCTCGGGGCCTCCCCTTCCTTCCTGCTGTCCCTTCCTGTTCCTCCCCCCCTCCCGTCAGCGGGCTCTATTCCTGTCCCCCGGTGTTCCTGTGTCCCCCTCCTTCGGCCGGTCCCCCATCTGACACCCCCTCTCTCCGTCGCGCTCTCTCTCTCCATCCCAGGGGGTCATCCTCGAACGCGGAATCGTGTACGGCAATTCGGCCACCCTCCTGGCCCGACCCACCGACAACGGCCACACACACAAGTGGACGGTTTACGTGCGCGGCCTCTATGGCGAAGACATTTCCTACTTCGTCCGCAAGATCAGCTTCAAGCTCCACGAGAGTTTCTCCCCCCAGACGCGTGGTGCGACCGGCCGAGCCCCATGCCCGATGCCCTTTGGCTGCCTCCTGCCCGAGCCCAACCGAACTCATGCCCCCCCCCCCCCCCCCCCCCCCTCCCTGGCGCCCGGCATGCCTGCCCACCCGCCAGTCGTCGACACACACCCCTTCGAGCTGACCGAGACCGGGTGGGGCGAGTTCGAAATCCAAATCCGACTCTTCTTCCACGATCCGCACGAGAAGCCCGTGGTTCTGCTCCATCCCCTTCGCCTGTACCCGGTGGAGGGGATAACCACAGAGCGTGATGCCGGCAAGCTGGTCGTTGCCGAGCGCTACGACGAAGTGGTGCGCCTCCTCCCATGCCCGTCTTGGCTCCCGGTCCCGGTCCTCCCCCTCCCGATGCCTGGCCTGACTTGTCCTCCCCCTCGCCCCATGCCCAAGATCTTCAACGAGCCCACCCATGTGATGGCCAACCAGCTGGAGCTCGGCCCGCCGGCCGGCTACGACGCCACCCCGACCGACTCCTCCAAGTACAGTGCGTGCACCCCCGGTCCTGAGCATCCCCCCTCCACACACACACACACGCGCACACGCGCGCACACACATAAACACACACATAAACACACACATATACACACACATATACACACACATATACACACACACATACACACACGCACACATACACACACGCACACATACACACACGCACACATACGCGCACGCACGCGCACGCACGCGCACGTAGACTGACCCCGCCGGCCCCGGCTCCGAACACAGTTAGCGAAGTCGAAACCATCGAGCTCCGGCAGATCGCCGAGGCTGAGGCCGCCGTGTGCAAGCAAATCGAAGCCGCCCAGCAAAAGCTCGCCCAGCTGGACCAGGGACTGCTGGTCCTCAACCGCGAGGTGGCCGAGATGGAGGCCGAGCGGGCCCGGTAGCGCAAAACACACATGTACCCTCCTCTCCCACCACAAGAATGCCTCGGGCTGGCCCGGCACCGAAATACAACTCCCCTCTGGGTCAGACGTGCTTTCTTTTTTCTCCATTTGCCTGGGCCCACCGGCACCAAGGGCCACCTCTCCCAACGGGACACGCACAGACACACCGGGGCCCGGGACACGGCTCAGCACATCCGAAGCAGATCCGGCCGGACCATGACCGGCTTGCGGCCATCGCCGAAGGCCGGCTGCTGGCCGTCAGCCGGGCCGGCGCCAATGGCCCCGGTGGCCGCACGCAGCGCCCGGCCAGTGCCCTCCTCGTCGAAGGGGAAAGCCTGCGTCGGGAGGACGACAATGCGCCGGCGCACGGCCAGCGCAATCGAGTCGAGGGCCCGCTGCCGGGTGGCCAAGTCGGCATTGGCGGCCCAGCGCGTCAGCCAGAAGCCCCGCGCCGCGATGTCATTGAAGATGAAGGGGCCGGCCCCGACCGACAGCGGCGCTCGGGCCAAGCCCCCGTACGTGACCACCGACGCGCCGGGGCGCAGGTGCCGCGAAAGCTCCGACCCATGGACCCCGCACACGGCATTGAAGGCCACATGCGCTTCGATGGCACCCTCGCCGGCTCGGAGGGCCTCCACCTGCTCGGCCGACGCCGGACGGCCCAGGGTCTCGGCCACCCCGCGCAGGAGGCGGCCACTGGACGGGTGCGTGACCACCGGCCGGTCATTCAGCGCGGCGGCCAGTGCCGCCTCCGGGTCGGCGGCCGGGCCAGCACCAGCGCCACCGGCTCCGCCCGAGCCCCGGGCCCCACGCCCGCGCGCCTTCAGCTCCTCCTCCGTCAAGACCACCGTGGCTCCGAAGCGCAGGAGCCGCCGGCGCAGCGCCTCCGTCTCATCGGCCGTGCCCCGGGCGCGGATCACATTCACCGTGTGATGCCCCAGCGCCTGGGCCAGCTGGATGACCGCCAGGCCGACGGCACTGTTGGCGGCATTCTGCAAGATGACCATGCCCGGCTGGACCCCGCCCCCGGGCAGGAAGTCCGCCAACAGCCGATACGCCGTCAGCGGGTTGATGGACATGGTGGCCGCCTCGGCCGGGGTCAAGTTGCTTTCGCCATTCAGGTAGCACCCGGTGCGCTGGACCAGCAGCAAGTCCCGGCAGTCATCCACCGCCAGGACCGACCGCCAGGTCCCGGCCCCGGCCTGCGGGAGGACCACCCAGTCGCCGACCGCCAGGCCGACCGGTGACCGGGGAGCCGCCGCGCCCCCCGGGCCGCCGGCCTCGGCATCGGCGCCCTGGTCCGGCAGGAGGAGTCGGTCGCTGGCGGCCGCGGCCGCGGCCATCACCGCGTCCAGGCCGCCCGGGCCGCCGCCGCCCACGGCCCCGTCATCCGCCTGCAGCAGGGCCCGGTGGAGCTCGGCCCCGCGCACATCGGCCCCCGGGTCCACGCGCGATCCCAGCCGCGGCCGCGGCGCGTCATACAGCAGCTCCCCGGCTTGGACTTCGGCCCCAAGCTCCACCACCTCGAAGACGCCCTCATTGCCGCCGATGGCCGGCAGGGCGCCCGGCCGGATGGGATACACCCCTTCGATGGTGTTGATGTCGGCCGGGTGGATGGGAGCCCCGACCAGGCGCAGCCGGGCCCCGCGCGGGCCTACCGGCTGGTCCTCCCAGTTGACGTGGAAGTTGTGAAACCTGCGTGTCCCAATGTGTGTGCGTGTGCGTGTGTGTGTGGGGGGGGGGGGTGATTGTCAGCGGCAGAGCGGGCGCGAGGGAGGACGACAGCATGCGACCCATCGGTGGCACCCGCATGGGCAGGGGACGCACTTGAGCACCTCGGTCGGCTGACCGTGCCGGGCGAAGGCCAGTGCGGCCGAGGCCACGGACCGGGTGACGATGGAGGCCGGCCGGGAAGCAGCATGCTGGGCCCGGACAGAGAGCCGACTGGCGACGAACATTCGAGGCGCGGGGAGGGGCGAAAAAAGAAAAAAAAGACGGGCGAGGGGGGACGGTGGGTTTGTGCAAAAGAGGAGGAGGCCGCAATGGGACGGGGCGTATGAGGCGAGTGCGCGTGTGCGTGTGTGTGTGTGTGTGTAGTTGCGATTGGCTGCGTGCAGGTGTATATTCCGCGGGGTCTAGGTGAAAGAATGGTAACCCGCATTTATGTCGTGTACATGTGTGGATGGGGAAGGGGGGGGGGGGGCCATGTCGCGCGGCGCGCTCGTTCTCCGAGGCAGCGGAGATCGGGTTGAGGAGCGGGCCGGGGCGGGGGGCATCGAAGATCGGCGGACAGGCCGCGCACAGGGGACGCCGGCGTCACCGGCGCCGAGGCGGCCCCCCCCCCCAGGCACGGGCGGCCCCCGGTGGCGGCTGCGTCGTCTAGGGCATGACCACATGCGTTGGCAATTGACACACCGCGGGATCCGGCCCCCCCCCCCCCCGCCTGGCGCTCCCAGGGACCCAAGTCTATTCCTGCCGCTCGGGGGCCGGCGCGGCGGCCGCCGGAGTGGCCGCCGGAGTGGCCGCCGGCCCACCGGCGGCATACGACCGGGAAAGGGCACGGCGGTGACGAGCCAACAGCCGGGCGGCCATGGCCGAGGACATGCCCGTGGCCGGGGCCGCATCGGCCGGCTCCGGCGAGGCCGTCGCCCCCGCGGAGGCCGCTGCGGCCTCCGGCTCGGCTGCCACATGGGCCGCCGGGGTGGCCGCCTGCTCGGCGGCCGGCCGCCCGGCCGGCAGGGCCCCCACCTTGGCCGACAGCTGGAAGAGCACGCCCGCGCGATTGTGCATCTGGATGATGTCCGACCGCTGGCGATCCAGCTGGGCCTCCATGTCCAGGTAGTCCTGGCGCCGGGCCTCGAAGATGCGCAGCATCTGCGGCACGATCGACCGCTCGGCAAAGGCCATGGCAGTCGGCAGGCCCTGGTCAAAGAAAACCGCCCCAATCAGGGCCTTCACCGCGTCCGAGATGATGGTCCGGTCGGCGGACCAGGGCCCGGCCTCGGCGCGCTGCGCCTGGATCCCCTCCTGCAGCACGGCCGCCGGCATGTCGAAGAGGAAGGCATCATGCTTGAAGACCAGGGCCCGGTCCAGGCGCAGGAGGCGCCCGACCCGCGTCGGGATCCGGCTCGATTCCAGCGCGGTCAGCTGCTGCCGCAGGTCCTCCAGCTAGGCGGAGGTGGGCCCCGACATGGAAGGAGCGAGGCGCATGGTGCCCATGTGAATGTGCGCGTGTGCGCAAATGTAAAAATTCACATGTGTGTGCGTGTGTGTGTGTGTGTGTGTGTGTGTGTGTGTGTGTGTGTGTGTGTGTGTGTGTGTGTGTGTGTGTGTGTGCGTGCGAGTGGGCACGCGAGTGCATGTGGTGCGTGTGTGCGTGTGTGTGTGCGTGCGAGTGCATGTGGTGCGTGTGTCAGTATTGCCCGGTCCTTACGGCTGGCTGGCGACCGGCGGCCCGGAGGACAAAGCTGTCCCCAGAACACGCGCAGAATAGGGGGGGGCGGCGGCGGCAGGCAGCCACGACGCGCCAGCACACATGCGCACCGGGATGGTAGGGTTGTGAGACATCACAGCATAGAGAAGCGCCGAGCTGAGGATGGTCTGGCCCATCTCCACGTGTCTGCCGCGGGCGAGCGGGGAAGGCGCCAAGGAAGGAGGGACCAGACAAAGGCCACCACCGCCCGAGGGAGGAAAGCCGAGTAAGACCACAGACGGGTGCACAAGCGAACCGGCGTCCACCAGGGCCCGGCGACAGTCGACAGAGGTGAGTGCCCGATGGAAAGCCGCGGCCAGGCGGGGTGTGTGGCAGGGGCTGGTCGGGGCCCGGGGGCCGCGCCTCGCTGCTGTGTGGGGGGGGGGGGGGGGGGGGGGGGGGGGGGGGGGGGGGGGGGGGGGGGGGGGGGGGGGGGGGGGGGGGGGGGGGGGGGGGGGGGGGGGGACCGGAATGACCGCGACTCGGGGGTTCATGCGCACCGGAGGTTGGAGATGCTCGACTGGGTGAGGGCAGCCGTGCCGGCCTCGGTGCTGGTCAAATGCGCAACCCGGTCATGCGGGATGAACACCTGCCGCAGGAGATTCGGCTCCTTGAAGGAAAGCTGCAGGGGGGGGAAAGTAAGAAAAGGAAAGAAGCACCGGGAGAAAGGGCCCAAAAAGGGGACGCCCACGCGAGTCAGCCCACGCCCAGATGCCGCCTCGGCCGGCTCGCCGCGGCGACGGCACGCACCTCAAGCTCCTCGGCCACCCGACGGACATTCCGATCGAAGTGCGGCGGGAGGTTCAGGAAGGCAAAGGTCTGGTCGGTCAGGCGCCAGTGCACCGGCACCCGTGGCCGGAGGAGGCTCACGTCGCGGGTCTTGAGCGTGCTGTCGGACAGGAGCGGCGCCTGGAAGGGGCCGGTCGAGGGCCCGGCCGCCGTGGCGGCCCCCGGCGCGGCGGCCTTGGACCGGGCGGCCGGCTCGGGCGCCTGCCCACCCGGCCCCAGCCCGAAGATGCCATCCTCATCCTTCAGATGCCGCGAGTACTGGCGCTGCTCGTCCAGCTGCGAGCGGGCCTCGGCGATGGAGATGATCGACGAGGCAAAGGTCGAGGCCACCGGCGCCGGGACATCCGGCCGCCGCCCGGTCAGCGCGTGGGCCAAAAACCGATAGTAGTCCACCGGGTCGGCCAGCGCCGCGGCCTGCTGCCGGAGCAGCAGCGGCAAATTCGGCGACACCGATGTCACGCGCTCGAAGAAGCCGCGCAGCTCCCGCGCCACGGCCCCCGCATCCGACAGGTCCTCCAACACCGGCAGCGGGGGCAGGCTATCGGCCGGCGGGAAGCCCGGAGGCAGGGACACCTGGGTCAGCACCGGGGCCGAGGCCGCCCCCGGGGCCGCGGCCACCGCCCCGGCCACGCCGGCAACCGCGCCAGCAGCAGTGGCGGCGCCAGTCGCAGCCCTGCCGGTGCCAGCCCCGCCAGCACGCCTGCCACCAGCCTCCGACCGGGAGCCCGGGGCCGCATCCCGACGCGGCGGCGGATCCCCACCGCGCTTCGGCAGCCAGCCCTCCGGCCGGACGGCCGACAGGGCCGACGATCCGAGCAAACTGGCGCTGCTGCTGTCCAGGAAGGAGGCCCGCCGCCGCGGGGTCGACCCCTCGGCCGCCGACGGGTGGTAAAGCGGATCCCGGCGCCGGGCCTCGGCCGCCGCCAGCTCCCGCTCCCGGCGCCGGCGCTGCTTGTCGGCCATCTTCGTGGGGAGATCCCGCTTCCGGGGGGGAGGGCCGGCCGCCGGGGAGGCTTCCTCGGCCGGCCGGCCGGCCTCCTCGCGGCGAGTCTTCCGCCGCCGGGGAGTCGGCTCCACCGAGTCGGCCACCGGGCGCGAGGGGAAATTGCTGTCGCCCACGCTCTGGGACACCTGGCGCACATGCCTCAGCGTGTTGTTGGCATCCTCCACCAGCTTGCGCTCCAGATCGGCCAGCCACTCGGGAGACCCGATGTGCTCGTCGTCATCGGCCGCGTTGCTTGCGCCGCCGCCGCCGCCGCCGCCGCCGCCGCCGTCATCGCGGGCCGCTGCCGCCATAGACCGACAGGCATCGGCGCCGTGCCGCATCGGGGCACCCGCCGGACGGGCCGCCACCATGGGGCCCGCTCGCCGGAGGACCGTGGCCGAAAGCGAGGAGAGCATGTGGGTTGGGGAGGGGGAGACGAGGTAGCTGGGCAGGGGGGCGGGGGGAGAAACGGCAAAAAGGCGGCGCGAGGAGACTTCCAGGTGCAACGGCAGAGGGGGGGGAAAGCAAGAGGGGGGGAGAGGGAGAAAGAGGGAGAGAGAGAGAGAGAGAGGGAGAGAGAGAGAGGGAGAGAGGGGGATTGTTTCGGCCTTCTCGATGGCCTGGGGAACACGGCCCGCCGCCCTGGTATCAGAAAGGGGACCGCCTCATGGCGGCGCAAGGTGGCGCACGTGTTCCCGGCGTCACGCTCACACATGCCAACGAACAAGCGGGCGGTCCCGGACGCCCGGCGCGCGCCGGGCGACTGTCCGGCCTCGTCCCCCCCCCCCCCCCCGGCCCCCGGCCCCGGTGCCCCTCGCTGGGATGGAAAAGAAAAAATGGGACCCAGGGGTGCACGGCACGGGATGACGCGCGAGGAGAATCGAGGGTGTGAATGTATTTTCGGGCGTGAACGCGCGGCGGTCAGAGGGGGGAGGATGAAGCGGAGTCCCGGCGAGATGGCCGGCGCGGGCAGGCACAGGCCCCCCCCGGGCCGTCCCCGGCAGGAGAAGACGAGGCATGCCGCATGGGCCACCGGCGCAAATGCAAGCCCACGCGTGTGAATATGTGTCTCCATGCAGGGGGGGGAGGGATGTGCGCGCGTACGCGCCCGGTAGCGCATCTCCTCGCGGGCCCCCCCCCTTCTAGGACTCCATCGACAGCGAGAGGGAGGACGACCGAGGGGTACGGGTGTCCATGAACCGGAAAACAAAGTTCGACACATAGCCAATCATCACCGGCAGGCCCAGCAGGAGCGGCACAAAGAAGGGCACCGCCGGCGGGAAGGGGGGCTGCAGGCGGAGGATGGCGTCCACCCGGCGCATCTGCTCGATGCCGTACCGCGCAGCCAGTGACCGGGCGCGAGCTTCGTACATGGTTTCCAGGCGGGTGTAGGGAGACTGTGCGCATGCGTCCGGGCGGGTGTGTGTGTGTGTGTGAGAGAGAGAGAGAGAGAGAGAGAGAAAGGGAGAAACAGACAGAAGTGCGCGTGCAAAGGACCGGCAAACTGCGCGCCCATGCGCGTGCGCGGGCATTTGGGGAGGAAAAAAACCCACCGCAGCAAGATCCCCCGCCCCACCCCGCCCCCTTGGATACCGGCCGCCAGGCATGCCCTTCAGGAGAGCGAGCCACCGAGCAAGACACGCACCCGGCGGAAACCCACCGACTGGTAGGCCATCAGCTCGGACACGAGCGGGCTGTTCGGATGCTTGGTCTCCTCCAGCTGGATGACGATGATGCCGAAGATGGAGTGCTTCATGCAGGAGGTCCACGTGTGGCAATGCTGGGACTGGTAGAGTCTAAACAGGATGTTGATCAGCTCGTCGCTGCTCTCATCCAGCCCCGGCATGCTCAGGACACGTCGATCGATGACGCTGAACATGGACCCGGTGATCCGGTCCAGCACCATGGCGATCATCAAGTACGAGCAATAGAGGGTCGTGTAGAATTGGATGTCTGTGCATGCGTCGTACGGGGGAGGGGGGGGGAGAGCGCGCGCGCGCGCGAGGTGGGAAAGGGAGACAGAGAGTGCGGAGGGAGGAAGGGGGGGGGGGGGGGGCGTGCGTCGGTGAGTTGACAGGTGTGTGCGTGCGCGCGCCAAAAGACAATCCGGTCCTTGGCGAGATGCGGCGCTCAGGGCGAGACGACGCGAGCCGGGAAAAGGGACGGGAAGAACGCACACCACATGGGCAGGGGCGCCGGCTTCGGCAAAGCCTGGTCCATGTCCACCTCGGCATCCTTCAGCAGCTGCAGCAGGTCCGAACTGGGCCCGGCCAGCGGCTCCGACGACACCGGCGCAGGCGTCGGCGACGCCGTCATCGGAGAGGAGGCGGAGGACCCCAATGACGAGGTCGATGACGAGGCCGACATCGACCGCTCCATCGCCAGCGTCGGGCCCCCATGCTCCAGGGCGCTGGACATGGCGAACTTCGTCAGGTACGAGGCATTCATGATGGACAGGTCCCGACGGCCGCGCCCGCGCCGACTGACCACGCCCCCATGGTCGGGAGCCGCCACGGCGCTCGACAGGGCCGCCTGGCTGGCCATGCCCTCGGCCGCCGGGCGGACCGCGGTGGTCGTCGCCGGCGCCACGTCCGGGACCTCACCATCCTCGGCGCCGGTGCCGGTGTCGGGCTCGATCTCGGCCCCGGCCGCCGGCCCCTGCATGAGGGCTTGGGCCTCGGTGCCAGCCTCGGCCACAGGAGGCTGGGGATCATCCTCGGCCCGGGTCCCGGGCAGGCGACACCGGAGCAAGCATGTCCGACGCACGTTGAAGGGCCGCATGAGGCCCAACTCAAAGTGGCCCGCAAAGGACCGCCCTTGCGAGGCATCCTGGCGCTCGGTCGACATATCCTCCAGCGAGGAGTCCTCCGTGGCGGCCGCCAACTCCAAGGACCGACCCCAGATCAAGCGCCCTGCTTGCAGGTAGAGCTGCGAACCGGGCGGACAGACAAAAAAGGGGAGCCCGCCAGCCAGCGGCAATAGAGAGAGGGAGAGAGGGGAGGGAGAAAGAGAGAGAGAGAGAGAGAGAGAGAGAGAGCATGAGGAAAGAGTCAATACAGGCAGATCCCAGCGCCGGGTGGGCCCAGGAGAGGAGCCAAGGGCAAAGGAAGGCGAAGCCAGGGACAACGAAGGAACCACAGCAACAGGCGCACCTTTCGCGCCTCGGCAATGTGCCCGGCAAAGGCCAGCCGGTCGGCGTGCTCGCGGATCAGCCGCGCCTTCCGCGTATTGCTGGCCATCTGCGGCGACAGGGACAGGGTCTTCACCAGCACCAGGACCTTCACCAGGGTCATCAGGCCAAACCACCGGAAGAAGCCCAAGGTCACATAGAGGACGGAACACAATGGCCCATAGGCGAAGGAGACAAACGCCGACAGGATCTTCGCCCGGGTGGACGCAAAGACCTCGGTGGAAATGATCGATGGCAGGGACCCCTCCAGCGTGGCGGCCGCCATGGCCGATGCCATGTCCCCCGCCTCGGGCGGGGTGTAGTTCGGAAGCGGCATCAGCAGCAACACCACCGACACCAAGACACAGACACTCAGCGCCCCGTCGATGGCGAAGAAGGACGGAGACCGGCGCTTCCGCGGGTTGATCTCGGCCAACGGCAGGCCGGCCCCGCCGTCCGGGAGATGCTCCCCCGCCACGGCCGGGACCGGGCCGCCGGCATCCGGCGCAGCCCCCTCGCCACCGGCCACCGGCCCATCGGCCAGGGGCCCATCGCCGGCGAGGACACCGGGGGCGCCGGCCAGGTCGGCCGTGGCCGGGGCCTGCGCCGGTGCCGGGAGCGCCAGCACCGGGGCTGCTTCGGCCACGGCCGGGGCCCGGTCGCCGGGCATGGTGCCCTGCCCCGGCCGGGGGGCCGAGCCACCGGCACCCGACCGCAAATGATGCGGCTGCGGCTGGAGGAAGTGCCGAGGCGCCCCCGGAGGAGGAGCTGGCCCCCATGGCTTCGGCTGCGTGGCGGCCCTGCCGCCCTCCCGGTACGAGGGGGAATAGTGCGACGGGTAGAACCCATCCACCGGGCCGTCCTGCCCCGGCCCCGCTGGGTAGTAAAACTCCCCCCCGGGACCGGGGGCAAAGGGCGCCTGGTGCGCCGCCGCCGCCGGGGAGCCACCATACTGGCCCCCGCTGTGGTAGAGGCTGCCATGGGGTGGGAGGGGCCCCGGTGCCGAGCCCCGTGAATGATATGCCGGAGGCGCCTGTCGCCGAGGAGACTCGCCGCCTCCCACCCCGGGATAGTATGGGCCTCCGGCCGCCAGGCCGGCAGGCGGCAGTCGAGCCCCCTCGCCCCGGGGGTAGCCCCCGCCCGAGGTGGACAGACCATCGTCGCTGGCCGGCGCCGCTGGCAGATACCACCCCCGAGGAGGCGGGCCGCCAGGAGGACCCGGCGACATGCCATCCGGCACCGACATCCGGTACCCATGGCTTGGTGGTCCATAGTACCGGCCGTCGGCCAGCGAGTCGACACCATACCCATCGCCACCCGCCAGTGGGTACTGATGGTGACGGTGGTAATCATAATAGGGCGTCTGCTGCTGCTGCTGCTGCTGCTGCTGCTGGTAGCCGGGCTGGTGATAATCGGAAGGGAATGGAGCGAGCGGACCGCCCCCCGGGAGATAGCCACCACTGGTCGCCGGGGGGGCGATCAAGTGTGGCGGCAGTGGCGCACCGTCCGGTCGGTGTGCGTACCTCCGAGACGCCTCTATGGTGGCAGCGGGCAGGGGGAAAGACGGAGCCCGCGAGCCAGAAGCCGCGACAAAAGGTCAGCACCACTGTGTGGCAGGGGGAAGGCCGGCGAAAGGGACAGAACCCGACCCATGCGGCGGCCTCCGTCGTACCATCATCACCGGCCAGACCGGCCGGTGTCACAAAGGAAGAGGAGGCGCCCCCCGGCGGCCCCCGACGCATGAACTGCTGCTGCTGCTGCTGCTGCTGCTGCCAGTGTGGGGGAGGCTGCTGGGAGGGGGGCTCATGGCGAAAAAAATGCCGGTCCTGAGGCGACAGCCCAGAAGGCGGGGGTCCTGACGGGTCGGACCGGACCGGGCTGGCCCCGGGCCCGGGGGCGTCACCAGCGAATCCACCTGCCGGTGGCCCGCCCGGATAGTGTCCAGCGAATGGCCCGGAGAGGCCACCGGCCGGGTGCCGGGATGGATACGCCTGCTGCTGCTGCTGCTGCCGGCCAACCGGAGCATGAGACGAATGGTGGTGATGATGGTGGTACGGGTGGGCGGCGGCCGCGGCCGCGGCGCTCGCGGCTCCGGGGGGATTGCCCCCGGCGCCGGCCGCCGCCGCCGCCGCCGCTTGATCGGCCTCACTCAACGGCGTGTTCAGCCCATTGGACGAACCGGATGGCGGCGCGCTCGGCACCCCACCCGACCCGAAGGAAGCCGACGAAGAAGCGGCCCCCGGGGCCGAGGAGAAGGACCCCGCACTCGCAGGGGGAGCCTCATCGCCGGGCGAGGAAAAGGGCCCGGCCGAGCCATCCGGCGGCGAGTTGACCATCACCGAGCCACCGAGGTCGGGCGCTGGTACCGGCCCCGGTAACCCCCCGGCCGGCCCATGCATCCCATGCGCATGGCCGCCCCCGCCGAGGGACCCCGAGCCAGGGGCCCCGGCCGGCGGCACCGAGCGCGACATTTGCGAATAGGCCCCGCTGTGGCCCGGCTGCGAGTAGGCATGCCCCGGCGGAGGCAGGGGCTGGCCCCCGGACGGGGTGGGCCCCCTGGCCGAGGAGCCCCCCGACGAGCCGGGGGTCGTGTGCCCGGAAGACCCGCCCGCCCCGGGCGAGGGGGATGGCCCATCAGCAGGCCCGGGGCCGCCCTCCGAGGCCGGGCCACCGTCCGACGCGCCGGGCCCGGAGGCGGCCGCCCGCTCCAGCTGCGCAATGCGATCCTGCAACTGGCGGACCTTCAGCCGGAGCTCCAGATTCGACCGGTGCAACGACCGGCACGAGCTGGTCAGGGTGTCGACAAAGGTGACACTGCGCGAGAGGATGGCCGCCTTGGAGGGCTTGCGATCCCCCCGCAGGCCGGCCTCCAGCCCGGTGATTTCGAGCAGATCGCTCTGTGCATCCGGAAGCAGCCCGTACAGCTGGTTGATGGCCGAGTTGATGCTTTGCTGCCGGCGCCGCTCCGACACATTGTGGTTGTGCTGCTTCAGAAGCTCAATCGCATCGGCATCCAGGGCCTGGCCGGCCGACAGGGCTGCCGCGGCCTCGGCTGCCGCGGCCTCGCGCCGAATCGACCTACACACGAGCAGGAAGAGGACGCAGGAGGAGGGAGGCATGGAGAGGGCAAGCACGGGGAGAGGCATTGGGGCAGGGGGGCAGGGGGGGGGGCGGGGGCGCGGCGATGAGCGGGGAAAAACAGAAACAAAGAAACAACAACAACGGACGCCAGGGGGGTGAGAAAAGGGAGGGGGGGGGGGGGGGGGAGGGGGGGGGGGGGGGGGGGGGGGGGGGGGGGGGGGGGGGGGGGGGGGGGGGGGGGGGGGGGGGGGGGGGGGCCGGAAGCCGGAGCCGGACACACAGACACACAGACACACAGCAACCGGATGCCATGGAGTTAGGACATGCAAGGCGCAGGAAGGGGGCCAAAGAGGAGAGGGGGCAGGGGGGGGGAAGTCAGGATACAGGGCACGCACGCCAGCTTACGCGACCCGATGGACGCGCCGCCGGCCAGGTCGTCCAGGTCCGGCGAGGGGGACCCGCCACTGTTGCGCGAAGAATGCCGCTTGTGCCGGGACACGGCCCGAAGCCCCGACGCGGGGTCATCCTCGCCCTCGTCGCTGGAGCTGTCGTCCGAGGACTGGGACTCGGCCTCGGGCGGCTGGTCCGGCTCCTCGGCCGCGGCGGCCGCCGCACGCGCACGCACTGGGCCCGCCGCCGCCGCCGACGCCGACGCCGCCGTCACCGGCACCGCCGTCACTTCTGATGGATCGCCCCCGGCCGCGGCGTGGCGCTTGCGCGGCGGCAAGGTCGGCTCTGTGGCCGCGGCCACGGGCTTGCCACTGTCAGGCACCGCCGGGGCCGCGTGCGACACGCACGACTGGTCCAGTCGCCTGGACAGGGCCTGGATGGAGCTCTCGTCCCCGGCCACCGCCGGGTCCGGCTTGACGGCCACCGCCGGCATGGCCGCCGCCCCATGCTTGGCAAGGAAGGCCCCGGAATCGGAGTAGGTGGCGGGGAAGCCGCCGGCCACCCCGGTCGCCGTGGCCGCCACCGCCGCCGGGTCAAAGTCCGGCGAGGAGGCCGACGACGAGCTAGACGACGACGACGACGACGAGGTGGCCGCCAGGTGAGGGTGGTGGTGAGGGTGGTGGTAGTGCGGCTGCTGATGCTGATGCTGGTGCTGCTGCTGCTGCTGGTGGTGGGGGGGAGGCTGGTGCTGCTGCTGCTGCTGCTGGTATTGCTGCTGATGCTGCTGATGCTGCTGATGCTGCTGCTGATACTGCTGATGCTGCTGGCCTGGGCCACCCTGTCCAGGAGGCGGGCCCAGCGGCCGGCCACCCGGCGGGAAGTACCGCTGCCCGGCGGGCGGCTGCTCGGCATGGCCCCCGGGAGATGAGTGGTACGTGGGCGGGGAACTCCAGGCCCCGGGGGGCGGCGGCCCGGCCGGGCCCTGCCCCGGGGCCCCGACCGGCCCATGGCCGTGCGAATGGCCGTGCGAATGGCCGACACTTGCCGAGGCCCCTGGCCCGGGGCCACCGGGGTGGAAGTCCCCGGGGCCACTGCCCGGGCCCGGAGCACCGCCCCCATCGCCCGGATGGCGTGGCCCACCATCATACACCGGGCCACGCGCACCATAGGAATAGTGGCGGCCCTCGGCCGAGTGGCCATACGTGCCGGGGTGTGCCGAGGGATCCGGCCCAGGGCCCCCGACTCCCGGCCGGCCAGCCAGATGACCCGGCACAGGGCCATAGTATGCATCGGCGGAGCCCGGCCCGCCGGAAGCCGCGGCATTGTGGAAGCCCGCATGCGGCGGGTGCCCCTCGGTCGAAATGCTGTACCCATCGCGCATGGGCCCGGCCCCAGGACCGGGGCCGCCGCCACCGACAGCCGGACCCGAGGGCGACGATGACGATGACGAGCAAGAGGAAGAGGAGGCCAGCCCGGAGCTGACCGTGTCGGCATGTGCCTGGTCCGTCAGCAAGCCGCTGCCGGAGCTGGCGATCGGCTGCGGGTCGAAAGTGCCACGACCCGGGTGGGGCTGCGCCTGTCCCGGCGCCTGGAGCTGTTGCGACTGCGAGGACGGCTCGGCCGGGAAGCCGGGGTGGCGCGGGTGGTGGTGCGCCGGCGGGGCCATGTGCCCGCCGGTCGGCGGCAGGAAGTGCGCCGGGCCCAGCGCCGCCACGCGGTATTCCCCCCGCTGGGGCTGGTACGGATGGTGCGTGGCCGAGCTCGACCCCGGCGGGTGAGAGTAGGAGTGACTGGAGGGAGGGTGCGGAGGCATGGGCCCGGGCCCATGCCCCGTCGGGTGGTGGAGGTGGTGATCCGGCGACTCGTTGAAGAAGTTCGAATCCCCCAAGAACACCGGGTCAAAGTCGCCGATGCTGTGGCTGACCGAACTCCCGGGCGGCGGGGCCGCACCGGTGGCATACGCCAGCGTCAAGTAGGCATTGTCATTGCCGGCTGCCGGGGGGAAAAAGTGCTCAGGCTCGAAGGAGTTGGGATAGGCCATTGGGTGGGACGACGGCCGCGGGGCCTCTTCTTCGTGTCACGGCAGAAGCCGAGACAAGGGACACTGGAAAAAGGGAGGGGGGAGGGGGGGGACACACACACACACACGGGCGCGCGCGCGCGCGGGGTCCCGGCGCAGTTTGCGTCAGCCGGCGACGGCCACCAGAGGCAACCCCGGAGAGCGATGCCCGGGCAGGGAGAGGGGGAACGGGCAGGCCGCCGGCACGCGGTGCGTATGACCGAGCGCGGCAGCCAGATGCGCGGAGGGCAGATCGCGCACGGCCGACGGGGCACAAGACAGGGAGCCGGCTGGCCGAGGGGGTGACACGACCGAGAGTGAGGGAGGGAAAGGCGGAGACAAAGGAAGGGAGGGAGGGAGGGGGGAGGAGGAGGGGGGCTGCTGGCCCCCTGCGGCGCGCGACCGCGACCGGAGCCTCGGCGCACTTCTATCCCGTGCGTGCCCCCGGCGCCCCGGCCATCGATGGATCTCGCCGGTCTGCCTGGGGCGGTGCCGGCGGCCCGGGCCGGCGCGAGTCCACACCGGCAAGGCTCGCCCGGCTTTTGCCGCCAGCCGCGCGCCCCCGCCGGGACCACCGCCCGTGCCCCCTCCCGCGGCCCCCCGCCCAGGGACGCAGCCCCGGGGAGGGGGTGTGCCAACGCGCGCAGGCCCGCGCCCGGCTGCATGCGCCCCCGCGCCAGGGCCGTTGTTTACCGTGCTGGCGCATGCGCGCACACGGCCTGCCTCGAGCGAGGGCCGCCCAAGCGCGGGGCCCGCCCCCCGGCCATCGTTCGTCAGCCAGCCCGATGTACCCCCCCCCCCCCGGCCTTCGGGAAGTGCAGGAGAAATCGACGGATCTAGTCGTCGGTGGCCCTCCCCGGCCGGGGGCGCCGGGAAAGGTAGAATGTTCTCCCCCCAGTCCGCCGGCAGAGAGACGGCCGCCCCCGGTCCCCCGGGCCACGAACCGGCCCCCCCCCCCCCTGCCCGCCCCCTGGACCGCACCCGGGCTGCCGGCTCTTCCCCGGAAACACACGTCCTGCCGGTTGCCGGGTTCCGGCCTGCCTGCCAAGTGGGGAGCACGCGCCGCACCCCCCCCCCCCCCCCGGGAGAGTGTAACATGCGAAAACGTGCGCCGCCCCCGCCCTCGCCGTCGCCCGGTCGGCGAACTCCTAACGCATCACAATGCGTCCATGCGCGTCTCCCCCTGCAAGCGCATGTGCACACATGCGTCGCCGCCTCTTGCTAACACCCGCGCGCGCGCGCGTTCTCCACACGACACGTTAATTGATCGGCGCATCGATTGCCGCCCCGCCGGCTGGACATCACCCAAGCAGGGAGGAAGCCACCGTGCCGGCCCCCGCCCGCCGGCCCCCGCCCGCCCGCCCGCCGAGCACCACGCCACCATGCCCGACCCATACCACGCCACAAATCATCCCGGCCCCCGCCTGCCCGGGTCCATATGGCGAGGGGCACCGGCCGGGCGCCCGTGCGCGACCCAGCCCCCCTCCCCGGGCCCCCCCCCGGCCCCCGGGCCCCGGTTGGCGCCGATCCCGCCCCAGGCGAGATCTTGCGGACCATATGAAATGGGCTCGATCAGCTGTGGCGCCCGGGCGAGTCCCAACGATTCGGGCATGTGACCGCCGCGTCGGTCCCGGCAGGGTCCGGCGCACGGAAATCCGCCCGACCGTCCGGCAAAAAGAGCGTGCGAGCGTGCGAGTGTGTGTGTGTGTGTGTGTACCTGGTTGCGCGCGTGCCGGAGACGAGCATGCGTCGGGGAAAAGAAAGAAAACAAAAACACCCTATGTTGCATCACCCACCGGAGATACCGCGCCCGCAGCAGGGTGGATTTTCCGCCCACACACATATGCTCTGACTGAGAGAGGGAGAGAGGGCGGGGGACACCGCGCACCGGGCCACATTCTATTCGAGCCCCCCCTTTTTTCTGGCCTCTAGCCACGGCGCTGCCGGGACACCCCCACATGCCCGGGGGGGGGGGGG